TCTGTCAGTTAATACTGATAATTCAAATTATATAAAAATAGAAGCTTGATATCAGTAATTTGATTTACATGTAAGCCTACCTAGATCTCCTCCTGCTTTTTATTAAATACTTCAAGCATTTAGCTTTGTATCATACCATTTATTGAAGAAGTTGGCTATGTTTCTTACAGTCACATGCTGTACTTGAAGACCTGAATTTGAGTCCTAAATGCTTCATGGTCTTAGCCAACTCAGTTTGCTTTTTCTGACTGTTTTCCAAAATTGTAATTTGGAATGAAATACTTTCATAAATTTATTTGATATTATGGAGATTTATTTTTTTTGTTAAAAATGCCTGATGTTTGCTATAATGAGAGCTATACAAGCTCTGTAATTATTTTTTATGTCCTTGAAAATGTTTGAGATTTTAGACCAATCTCTTGAAACTATGTTTCTTCTGTGAAAACATATGCATTGTTTCATCTGAAAGTACGATTGTTCATAACATGCAAACTGGACGTGAGATACTGCTTTGCAGTAGCTATTAATCTGCTGATTAACTGATTCTTGTAGAGATTGGAAGGGATTTGTGTAGACTGCAAACTGAATAAATGAGTTTCAAAAATGTCTAGCAATTTAAAACACTGCTTGGTGTGAATTAAGATGTTCAGAAGCCACACACAGTTTCTTGAAATCTTGATCCTTTTTAGCCATCCATAATGCCATCAGTGCAGAAGTGCTTGGAAAGCACAAGAAAGTGGGATAACTGCATAGATGAAGCACCAATCCTTATGGATTGTAAAAGCTGTGAGGCTGCAGTTTAAGAATTCATGTACTCTGGCTGTGGTTGTGACCGACTTGCAGCAGTGTGTTTGGCTTGCAAGCTTTACGGGATATTGTTACAATGCCTGTATTTGGGCACTTAGCTTGTCCTGGTTGTGTAGTGACATACATTATTTTGAATCCCTTCACTGAGGCTTAAGGTCAAGCATTTTGCCTTGTGTTTTGCTGTAGGGGGGGGACAAGCACATAGTCAGCTCAGGAGTGCTGCTGATGGACAGCAACTTGTTAAGTCAGGATAACTCAGTTTTGTTTCTATGTCTGTATTCTGAGGCATTTCATTTGGAATATGTCTCACCTAAATAATAATTCTCTTAAGAGTGAGGTTTTTAAATTGCAAAATTGGGATTGCAAGATAAATTTGTCATAGGGGAGAAGACAGAAAGTACTGAAAAAAAAACCCTGCATGCATGATTGAAGGCTGGAAAGTTCCAGGATAGGATTTTGTGGTTTTTCCAAAGTATGTGCATCCACCCTAAACTTGTACTAAATCAGGTTGTCGAGAGGCAGCTGTCATCCCCAGTATCCTACTATGCAAATAGGATCTACCATGTTAGATGTTACTGTCTCAAGAGCTTTCTTAAGGTATAGATACATGTCTTCTGATCTCACTGGTAACAGCAAGTAGAAGTTTCTGTCTCTTTCTTCTGTCTTCACTAGAGTTTAGTGCTGTGTCCATTTTCTGTGGACTTCATGGGTTCATGTTATGGCTTCTAATCGGTTTGGGTCAAAATAAGCCTTTTTAGCAGAGACCAGCTACTTTACACTTGAAGCTCACTTTCTGTTCTTTGGAAATGAAAAGCAGCAGGACCGGTTAGGCCAACTGATGAGGAATCATGCATTTACCCACTCAGTTCTATCACATGCTGCTTTGAGCTCTCTTTGAGAGAAACTTGAGGCTTCTTGGCTTTATTTAGGGGATGTGGTGTAACTGGTCAAGTTCATTCCCAGGTGATTACAGTTCACATTGCAAAAATTCCTTTTGCGCTTTCATCTGAATACTGTGGTTTGGTGTGTAATGTTAAAGGTCTAACATATTCCATTTTTGAGAGTTTCATCTTGTAGAGGAAGAACAAAGAAAGCTGGTACTGAGTGAAAGAACAGGTCTTGTTCAAGTGCAGGGTTTACATCTGTTTCTATAGTGTAATATTCCAGCTCAGTAGTCTTTTACCTCACAGGGCCAAAGAAGACCCAAATGTTTTATGATAACCTAAGAAATTGTTCCCCAGGCACTGGTAAAATGGTTGTTATATGTTGGTAAAGTTCATAGTAATAGATAAGCATGAAATCTTATAACTAAGTACTGGTACTTCAAAGGGCAGTACAGCTGTCTGTTTGCCGTGTCTGCAATGTTGTGGACATCTACCAAGAAAGCCAACAAATGGATCAACTTGTTATTTGTCAAGGTACTTCTGTATGATCTGAACATTTGCCTTCTCTATGTTTGTGAGGTTGGTTCATTGTCCACAGGCAACTGTGAATGTAACTCATTACTACTGTTCTTGGACCAGGATGGTACTATTACTGCAAAGAAAAGACAGTTCATTGCCATTTTCAAAAAAAGTTTGATTACCTCTTAACCACTGTTTAAGTAACATCTCTGTAATTTATCTTTTTTCCTTTCTCCCTCTTTGCATTCATGCATTGGTTCTTTGGAAGAGAAATTAATTGTATGCATTAATATCTTCTGTGTTGCTGCTTTAAGCACATCATAGTGAATAAGTATTATTTTATCAGCCCACTAGGCAATAATGACCATTAACCTGATTATTAACTGCTGGGTCTCTGATGGAATGCTGAATACAAGCTCATTCAAAAATGGCAGAATTTGGCTCTCCTTTTTACTGTAATAAAGCTGCTTCTGTTTGTAGCACTGTGTTGCTGGGAGACTGCAGCTAATTTTTATGGCGCATGTCAGTAGTAGTGATTCAAATTATACATTTTATTGAGTAGCTCTTCTCTTTGTTTGTAAACTGTCTTCTGTGAGGGGAGAGAATTTTTTTTTGTTCTGGGGAAAACAGTATCCAGACCGGAGAAAATGATTGAATCTGGAACAAAAGCTCAGATTGTTCTGTTGATAACATCCTTGTACTTCCAAAGTCACTCCAGGGGGGATGGTGGCCTGCCTGAATTTACAGCAGTCTGATAGTCAAGTCTAATGCAGGTATTCAGGAGAATTCCAGGTGAGGCATATACATCTCCTCCAACTGCTGTTTTTTCTTTTTCCAACTCCATGGTGCAAAACTTCATCATGTGGTGTGATTTCAAAGCAAAACAACAAAATAGATCTGAGAGATTATAAATTAGAAGACTCTGTAGTTTTGGTTCACCACAAAGATACAGTGGCAATTTTTGGGCTCTGTAGAAAATGTAGTCCTTTTTAAAATGATTGTTACACAGTTTGCACGTGGATCAGGACACGCATGCAATTACAGTGGCAAAAAAGTGGGTGTAATTGGGTGTGCACCTAAATGAGAAAATACACCTGTAAGGAGGAATCTGACTAATAAGTTAAAAATCTTTTGCTTGATGAATCTGTACTCCTTTTCCGGCTAAAGGGGATGCTAGTCCATTTCCTGATGTTCACATTCTGCTTAGGTTTTTAGCAGTGTCTCATTTTTAATCTTGCTTGAGATGCCTCTGTAAAATGGTGTGTGTGTGTGTCTGAAGCCTGCTTCCTTAAACACGCAAGTCATGTCAGCTGCAATGCGGCAGTGCTTGGTGCTAATGAGGTGAGCAGCCAGAGCACCCGTCTGCTTATGTTTTCTCATCTCTGTGCAATTATGGCAATGGGGATTGGAAAAAGGGATTTGTATTGGAGATGGCTCTGTTTCGGCCTTTCCAAAGTGCGGTTCTGTGGCCTCCTGAGGACTGGGCAGCATATTTCTACTTCCATTTTGGGAGTTAGGTGGTTGCTTCGTTATATTTAAGGCAAGCTCTGAAATACATCCTGGCTGGGAGAAGAAAAGAAAACGGGAAGTACAGACAGGGGGACACCCTCCTTTCTTCCCCTGCCTCCCCACACCCCCCCTCCCATTAATTCAAATGCACCTTGAAATGAAATATATTGCCTGGCAATATGTGTTTTCAGATTGAGTAGATGCAAGTCTGTATTTGAAAAGTAACATCTTTGGAATAGAGCTAATCAGGTAATTAATTTGAGCTAGGTCTGAATAGTTACAGCTGGCCTTTCATAGGCACAGAAATGCAGATGCACTGTGATTTCTATGCGCGCTTTCTTTTTCTTTTTAACCCTGAAGCTGCTGACAGCGGTGTGAGCTGTGTATTTTATGCTGAAGTTAGAAAGTTTTACTTTGAACATAAGGCAAATAAAGTGAATATCAAATCCTGTTTGTATTTTCCCATCCTCAGCTGCCAGACTGTCTTCATCAAGCTTGATGGCTTCCCATCTAATCCTATCGTATTCCCATTCCTTCAGCCTGTCTTTCAGTGTCTATTTTTCAGAGGCATGGTCTCTAAAACTATAGGTCATGATTAAGTAGTACATTGGTCTTGGTGGCAAAGCTGGCTTTCCTTCTAGTTCATACCTTAATGTCACAGGGTGCTGCCCTGTTAGCTAATAAAGTTACTTCTGAGTACTTACTTAGTATACATCAGATTGTCGCAATGATCTGTGTTAAAAATATGGCTCTCTCTTTTTTTTTTTTTTTTTTTTTTTTTTTTTTTTAAGGGTCATATCTAATCTCTGTTACTTTGGCAATATGTTGTGTAACGTGATACCATAAACAGAGGGATCAATACAACTGGGACTGGGAAAGGTATGAACTGTGTCATGTAGGCAAGAACCAGTGGTGGGAGGCAGGAACCTCCTGAGCTAGTGATACTGCTGATGTGAATTCATGTAGTGTGCACTAACACCCATAGAAAGGATGATGTGTCAACCTGTAAAAAAATCCTTCACCCTGGGACAGAAGTCAAGATTGTGTGCCCTAATACAGTCTGTTCTTTGCCTAGTCCTAGTTTTAAGTGGGTTAAGAGTGACATGTATGAAACAGCACAACTGACAAGATGCATTTTAGGGAGAGTTATGCTGTTCTAATGCTCACTGTTGAAGTCTGGTATCTCTGTTGTGATCACATACAGTGCAGTATTTATTTGCCTGCTTACCTTCTCCTGAAGACCTTGTAGTTGATTGGGATGTTTTTCTCTTCTTTCTTTAGGTCTCCGGGTGAATGGGGAGCTCATTACCGCTTACCCTCAAGTGGTGGTTGTGCGTGTACCAACACCCTGGGTTCAGAGTGACAGTGATATCACAGTCCTTCGCCACCTAGAGAAGATGGGCTGTCGACTGATGAATCGTCCCCAAGCCATCCTCAACTGTGTCAACAAGTTCTGGACGTTTCAAGAACTTGCTGGTCATGGTGTGCCTCTTCCAGACACTTTTTCATATGGTAAGGCTTTTGGATCAAAAGCATAGCATAGTTGCCTACCATAATTTATGCTTTTGCAGTGCAAAAGTTAGGAGTCAAGATTTGGAAATCTATAGAATTAAGTAGCATGAGGCTAGTTCCATAGATAGCGTTCAGTAACCAGAAAAGGAGATTAAAGTGCCAACACTCAGATTCTGCTTTTGGCTTTGTTGATTAGCTGTGATGTTTTGGGAAGAGTACTTTAACTGTAACTCAGCCTCCGAAGCAACTAACTTTAGTTGTTACCACTAAAACACTTGGAACGCTTCCAGTTGCCCAAAACAACAGACAAGAACTTGGGAAACTAAATGTCATAGGATTATATAAAGAGCTTGACTTCAGTAAAACCTGAAAGTAGATTAAACTTCCACATGAATAAAAGTATCTGCATATATATTAGTTATTGTGAAAGGACAAAAAGAGTACAGGCCCTTGTGTTCAACTTTTAACAATTGTTTGGGGTTTGTTTCCCACCAGAACAGTTAATTATGAATGTTTCTTGTGCCTGCCTCTGGAGTCTGTGGTTCCTGACAGAGTGCTAGATTAGAGGAACCATTTGTCTGAGCTACCCTGATGCTATTTCTGCTTTTAATTACAGTATATTCAAGAATTGGAGATACCTCTCAGCCTTCCTTTCCTTCTTGGGAAATACCAGTGCTTTCCTCCCCTTTGTGTGGTTGTACCAGTAGACTTTCCTAATGGGAACTTGACAAGAACACAAACACACTTGATAAGAACACAAACACACTTGACAAAAACAAAAACATGGGTTTCCATCAATTACTTTGAATTGCTATTTCTATCAATTACTGTGACAACACATTTGAGAAGAAACGTACCTTTTCTTTATAGATGTGGTTGCTCTAGCTCTGAAAAAGGAATGAGTTTTTAATTTTTCTGGGGGGAAGGGGAGACCACGAATGATGGGGTAATTGCAGAACAACCCTGTTTGTTCATAACTCCCTGCCACTTCTTCTAATGCCTGTCTCTGGAATTTGACAGAAGCATGAGTTATTTAAAAAAAAAAAAAAAAAAAAAAAAAAATCAAGTTATCAGTAAGAGCTGGCTTTGCCAAGAAAAACAGGATGTGCGGAATGACATGTTATTCCATGACACACATTAAAATCCGTGGCAGGATAGTGATGGCTGCTGCTGGCTTTGTGACCAGTGTCTTGGCTTGTCTTCTATGCTTTACTGCACATACTGTTAGAGGAGTCTTATCCCTTTGTCTGCTGACTTTCTCTTCTGTATTTTCTTGTATTGTGGTCAGCCTTCTGTGAATTGAACTGAACTGAAATAACCTTGAAGTATCAACCATAATCATGTGAATGGTCATGAAAAGCTACTCTCTATAAGGTCCGTAGAGATGCAGTGAGACAAAAAGGTTGAAGTACTACTTCAGGAAATAGGGAGAATGAGATGCAGGAAACTTAAGCCTTGGAAAGGGGGGAGGTGGAGTGACAAGATTTGGGTTGTTGCTGCTCTCTGGATTATGCCTTGTCTTTGTATTCCATGTTGCTTTTCTGGTTAGTAGTGTGGATGGAACTGTTACTGGTCTTATGCCTGTGCTATTTTCCTGCTAGACGTTTGAAAAGGTGGGAGTTGATAAAGTAAAAGAGATAAACTGGAAAAGATGGTAGAATTGGGGCATTCAGATTTGGAAAATTGGATTGAGCCTTTTGGGGTTGTGATCAAGAGGCTTTTGTCAACCCGTGTCTCCCATTTCAAAGGAGGTAGGAGTTAGTATCCCACAGATTACAAACACCTTCAAAGTCTGATCATGCTCCATGACCAAGTTCCTCTTAACTGTTAGGTTTTTTTGCATTATCTAAGCTGTAAGGGTGGGAGGAATGTGTGGCAATTACATCCCAAATTTGGCCACACCAGATTGGTGGCACATAATGTTGTTGGTTTTCTTTTTGCCAGGTGGTCATGAGAATTTTGCCAAAATGATTGATGAGGCGGAAGTGCTGGAGTTCCCTATGGTGGTGAAGAACACACGGGGTCACCGAGGTGGGTGTGAGGTCAGGGGTGAGGGCAAGGAGCATTCTGAGCAGCACTCTTTAAGATTTTGTCTCGTTAAGGGATGATAGTTAAGAAGGTCTTCTGTTAGGTGTTAGACTTCCTTGCGGTACATCTGAATTCTACCACCCTTTGACTTCTCAATGTTGAGTAGGCTGCAACACTGGTAAGCAGTTTTAGTAAAACCTAGTCTTGCAATATCAGAGGGGATAGCGGTTCAAAATTATGGTGCACTGGTGACTTCTGTGAGGAAAGCTTTGAAGTGGAATAATGGCAGGTCTGGCCTTAGGGAAGTAGACAGAAGCCTACATGGATTTTAGTGATGTTCCTAAATAGGCATAAGAAATTAAATACTTATTCATTCAGTCTTAATTTGACTTTTTTCTACTTGGCTTTGTTTATAATTAGGATTCTGATTTAAATAATATGTATTCTTTGTCAAACTGGATCTCTGTTTTTCAGAAAAATATCTCTGACAGTGCCAGTGATAATACAGCAGGTTCAGATTAAATTGTTCTGTTATCAGTCTTCTAAGTGTTGAATATGAAACAATACATCAATTTTGTTTAATGTTAGGTAGTGATCTACTAAAGGAAACCAGGTTTAAAATAAATTTCAGAGGTTATTTGCACAGGAGGTTGCACTGTTTTTAATTTACTTTAAAACCAATTTAATAAATACTATAAGTAAAAAGGGACTGAAACAGAAATTTAAGCACATAAACCAGCAGTTACCTTAAACAAAAGCATAATGAGGCACCACTTCTTCCTCCTTATTGTCTGTCAGTTTCTTCCCACTCTGTGCTGCACTGCTGCATCTCTTCTACTGGTGTGAGTGTTTCTGTAGCCCTGTAGTAAATGGATTCAGGAACTGATGTTGGATGAATATAGATGGGTTATTTTTACTTGGATTAATTCCTTACATGAACGATCGTTTACTCTCACAAATGCTTGTGCTGATGTAATGGAAGAGTGAGGGCAAAAGGCTGGGGCAGAGGAAGATCAGGCCTGCTTCTGTTGGCAGCAATATCTGTTTATATGGTTTTAAAGTGCTTGTGGAGCCATGAAGCCAAGTTGGAATTTGACTTTGCAGCAAGCTGAATTAGACAACTGTGGTGGATTTGACTTGACACTGCCTCTTGTTAAGATCTACTAAATAATTACAGAGTTTGCAGCTATTGATTTTCTTCTGCCTTTTTTAGCCAGAATTCATGTAAATCTCTGTTTACAAGTTTTGCTTTAGAGCACTTTAAATTCCAGGCATTTTAACGCAAATTTATGCACGGTACATAATCTTTTACATTAAGAGAGTTGGGGAAACTTTTTCAAATTAATTGAAGAGTTGCAAATTGTATTTAAGAAAATAAACAGGCAAATGTGGTCACAGGTACTGGCTGATGGATAACGGCCTCTTCTAGGCCCATTTTCTGCATAGTTTGCTGCTGCAGCAAATGTGCCAATAGTACTTTTGCCAATATGTCATGATGCTGCATAATTCCCACGAACTAAGTAGTTCCCCTCCAAGGCATCATTTGTCCTATCCCATGTGAGGAATACAGTAGGATTATTAAGTGCCTGTAGGAGACCTAATGTCTACAATGGGAGAAAGCACATGGAGGTTTTTGCTTTCTTGTCATGATTTTTAAGCCTATTTTCTGATATGCTGTTTGTGATGAGAAATTCCATATTCCTCAAGCAGTGTTCTGTTACGGAGACCTTAAATCCTGGTGAAGCAGAGGCTGCACTAGTTGGGATTTGGAGCCCTTGGTGGAATTCTTCTTCACATGTTTTTTCTCCTAGTTCTGCTACTGCTGCATTTCTGTTCCATTAGTTAAGATAGGCAGTTTGTTGATTGATTTTTGTACTCTGTTAACATTATAGCATAACAATTCTGCCACAAAGAAAAAGTGTGCAGCCTTATTGCAAAATGTAAATCTAATATGACACATAAAAGATCCTTTCAGAAAGGGGAAGAGGAGTTGGGAAATGTAGCTGAGATGGAAAGGGATGCCTTCTTGTGAGACTAGAAATGAGATGGGAAGTGGTAGAATCTGTTCCAGGAATGACTTTTATCAGTATTAAAAAAATTGGAAAAGAACGAAGAAGTCTTCGGTGTGGTCTAGAAATGAAGGTGAATGAAATTACATTAGATGTTTCCTTGCAGAAAAGCTAGTGATTTCTAAAGAGTTTTTTTCAAAATTTTAGTATATTCCATTCAATTTATCCTGTGGAATCTTCTGCTAAGTTATCTTGGATACTGTGGAGTTGAGTGTTTTCCTCTGAACGTGGTTGTTCCACCGCAAAGCCTCATTCTGGAGTTGTGAGTTCTTGTAAGTATTGGGAAGAGCAGCTCTCAGCAACTTTCCAACAGAGAAGCGGTTCTGCAGTGGCACACTAGCGACTTCAGGGTTCTTGGCTGTCTGGTGTTTTAACAGTTTCATGTCATTGATTCCTGTCTGTCAAAGCTGTAGGCTGTGGGTCCATTCCTCTTGGATGAACAAAACTGTGTTATAAATTAAATGTCTGCTGCTCTTGAGTATTTCTTCCTCTTTTCTCTCATTAAGGACTTGTATGAAAAGGAGTTGAAATTACAAGAACACCTCCTTTATCTAAAGCTGTTTTCTTTTCTTCTCCTTTTTTTACTTCTTGTATGGCTCAACTCTGTCAGTACTTTAACACTTAGAAGCACTGAAGCAGTGGAACACTGATGTCCACAGAAGAATTTGTAAATGGGTCTAAGCTACAGATGGGGCCTGTGAGAATGGGCAGCATACTGGTCAGAGGTTTTACTTTTACGCGCTGAGTCATTGACACAGCTCAAATCTGTACCTTCTTCTAATCTTCTGATGTTCTTTTCTTCATACAGGTAAAGCTGTGTTCCTGGCCCGAGACAAGCACCATTTGGCAGACCTGAGCCATTTGATCCGTCACGATGCCCCTTACTTATTTCAAAAATACGTTAAAGAGTCTCATGGCAAGGATGTACGTGTCATCGTAGTAGGAGGCCGTGTGGTGGGCACCATGCTCCGCTGCTCAACAGATGGGAGGATGCAGAGTAACTGCTCGCTTGGTAGGAAAAGCACTGTTCATAATTATGATCAGAATTTTTCAATCTAGTTGAGAAGTCACAAACCCAATTGAAATAAGCTGCAGGTTTTATTTTGTACTGTGCTTACTGTTGGGGGTTTACAGAGGAAACACAAGAGTGAGGATTAAGTGAGATCCATGTTGAGCAAACACAGGAGAGACAATCTCTGCTCAAAGTATTAGATAGATAGGATGGATGAAAAGGAGGGTAAAGTTCTAGGAACACAGATGGAGCAACTGATGTGATAGTGGCAGCGTCATGCTAATGCCATGTTATCATTCGTGTCATCCTATTAAGAGGAACAGAAAATGAAGGAAGACAGAAAATGAGACTGAGGGAGGTGGAGGAGGCAGCCGGTTGGCCAAGAGGGTAGACGAGAGTGTTAAGGGAGGAAACTGTTGAAGGCAATAAAACAGTTGGATTGCATTGTACAGCTGCTGTGCTGCTTTTAGTCTGTCCAGCTCCTCCCTGCAACCTTTTTCTCCAAAGACCATGTCTGGGAGGAAGAGGAACGTTACTGCATTGATTGTAGCATGCTCAGAACTGAGTTTCTGCGTAGCTTTGGGTGTAGGACAGGGGGATTTCTGGGGGTAGGAGGAGGAAGAAGGGTTGAGGTTGCCTGTCTGAAACTGTACTGAACCTAAACAGAGATGGGACAAAGTGTATTCACATGTTGTACAATTTTGCTTAGTCAGAATGCCTGGGGCATTTTAGTTACTACTTGATGCTGAGGAAATAGAGCCTGAAAGATTTTTCTGCTAAATGTTTTTTGGTTTGTTATTGTTTGTGGTGTTTTTGTTTTCTTTAAACTTACGTGCTGTGATAGATGAAGTCTGAGTCGGTTAACATTTAGATGATGGACTGTGAACTGGAGTGGCTGAGGTTCAGACACAAATGTTCCCTAATTCTTGCTTTAGAGACAGAAACCTATGATAGCAAGCTGAGAGAGACATGAGCAAATGATAATGTCTTAACCCCAGTCCCCCTCAGTTATATCTGTTAGAGCTGTAGTCTTATCAGGAACACTTGGTTTAATTTTGCTGAAAGATTTCTTGTAATAACTTACAAATATGTATAGAAAGCCTCTGCCTTAGAAGGAGCAAGGTGGTTTGTTAGGTCATCTTTTTAATATCCCAAGATCATAAAAATGTACGGTACCTTTCTTGACTAAAAAAATCAGTACTTAACTGTTTTTTAAACAAGCCACAATCTTGTCAGGTCAGAATCAGGCAGGTCAGAATCTTTTGAAATCCTGCTGTGGCTTCAACTTCATTAGTAGTCACTGTGGAAAGGAGGTTGCTTTCTGAGTCATCAGCAGTATGCTTGCAGGCTTGCTTTGGAGCTTCCCAACCAAAAAGTACCAACCAGTTGAGAAGGTTGTCAGTCACCTGTGACCAGACTACAGACAGCAAGTTTCTTTCACTTTTTCCAGGTGGTGTAGGGATGATGTGCTCACTGAGTGAACAAGGCAAGCAGTTGGCAGTCCAAGTGTCAAACATCCTGGGAATGGACGTGTGCGGCATTGACCTGCTGATGAAGGACGACGGTTCATTCTACGTCTGCGAGGCCAATGCAAATGTAGGTTTCATTGCCTTTGACAAGGCTTGTAATCTAGATGTAGCTGGTATCATAGCGGACTATGCCGCTTCTCTCCTTACCCCCGGTCGCTTGACGCGGCGCATGTCCTTGCTCTCTGTGGTGTCCACGGCAAGCGAGACTAGCGAGCCAGAGCTGGGCCCTCCAGCTAGTGCCGCTGTCGACAATATGAGTGCTAGCTCCAGCTCTGTCGACAGCGACCCTGAGACCACGGAGAGAGAGTTGCTCACCAAGCTCCCGGGGGCTCTATTCAACATGAACCAGCTATTAGCCAATGAGATCAAACTTCTTGTGGAGTGATGCCACATGTAAATAGATGACCAACAGAACTCTCTCTTGTAAATTTTTTTTAAACCAACTTGCAATGCTGTTTATCAGAGAAGCTCAGAGGAATGAGGAAAGGGGGGGTGTCAATCAAGAGAGCAAGAGTAAAAGGCATGCGTGCTGTGATTGCTGCCCCTACTTTTTTGCAGAACATAAATTGTGTTCATTCTTCAGCATCAGTTTTCTAATGAAGATGCTCAGTTCACAACCTAAGCGGGAATTTTATTTGGATGCTGCTTTGGTCCCCAGACATATTGCAGTTCATGTGTGTTCACATGCACTGAAGCATGATTCACACTCGAAGATTTTCAGAAAGCTGTCTGGCAGCTCTCTAGAAACTTCTGTGAATTACTGCACTGGTTAAGTCTCTTCTACCTCTGTAAGGCTTGATCCTGTAAATTGCCGAGTGCCTCAAATTCTCCATGTGAGTTGAAGGTGTTAAATACCAGGTATGTCAAAGTTCTTGGACACCTGCTGCTCCTAGTCTTGTAGATGGGAGCTGTAAGTTCAGGATCCTTTTAAAGTCATCACTTTCTGACCTTGCAGGATATGGCCTTTCAAATGATGAGGCTGAGAGAAGCGTCAGTTGACTTAACGTGAGCTTTCTGTACAAATCTGTAATTTGTGCCATCTTGGTATTAATTGGCAGCTTTGTGTCTATATTTCTTTATAAAGCTTTTGAAGGAGGATCTTAGTACTTGTGTTTTTCTCATTTCAAATCCTGATTTTGGAAGGTATGTAGGGGAATTGATCATATTCTATTTGTGGCAGAAGTGGCACGTTTTAACTTTTTTTTTGTGTGATTGGAGGAGATAAACAGCACTGTAATGTTTGGTATACAAAATAATGTTTAATCCAATGTGAAAAAGAATTACACTAGTTTAAAGCAAACGTGCATCGACTTGTATTTGTTAGTGTTTTAGTCTTTTGAGAGAGATCTGCTATGTTAATGTTCCTTTTTCTTTAATACATGCTAGTCCAACACTCCCTTCTCTATGCCTGCATCTTTAACGGTGGCCAAAGTGAAAACACTGCAGACTATTTGTTAAGAAAACACTGAGTTAAAGCCTGTACATTGGTGTGGGTTTTTTTTTTTTTGTTTTTTATTTTGTGCGTTGGGGGGGAAACATGGTAAGGTGTGGAGGAGGGAAAAATTGGTTAAAAGTGAGGTACCTTTAGAATAAAGCTGCAGTTCATACAGTACTTACCAGGCTTACTTTTTCCCCACTGAACATAAAAGCTGATGTTGGCAGAAATCCAAAGAGTATAACTGGGGAGAAATACTCAATTCTTAGCTTTGGGAAACATGCAGCAGATTTTAAAAAGGAAAATTAAAAATAAAAATAAGAAAAAGAAAAATGAAGGGGGGGGGGAAAAAGAGAGCTCAGCCAGAATTAAAAATAAATGAATATATATATATATATAACCAAGGTCCACGAACAATTAACAAATTGATCCTGGACCCTTATGTGTGTGTGGTGTGAGTGCACACACTTGTGTGTGTTTGTGTGTGCGCATTTGCTTTGCTTTATTTCTTTTTGGGTTTTGGCTGTTTAGCTCCTATTTTTTTTTCCAAGCTGCCTGATTTTCCTTAGTCCTTCTGGCTTTGCATTTTCTCATTAGCCTTGAGCTGTTTTGGAAAACAGATAATCAAAACAGATACCGAGTCCACTTTTCACTCCCAATCTTCCCCATCCTTTTCCTCCTCCTTCCCTTCTTCCCTTTTCATTCCTTTCTCATTCTCTGGGTTCATAAAGCCCTGGAACTATAGATATATATATATATAAAGATAAGCCTCTTTTTTTAAAAAAAAAAACACAAAAAGTAAAACGTTTACAATTGAAAAATAATCTTGTGAAAATATGGTTTGTTTGGAGGGGGGTTGTGTGTGTGCAATGCTGCTGTTTTCTGGATACTTTAATGGAGCATGTCCCATGTACCCTCTGAGGCTCTGCACTGCCCACCTCTGTGGCCCTTCCTCACCTCTCTGCTGCTCTGCTGTTTTATCTTCACTTGGACCTTAAACACAACTCACGGACACTATGCAGAGAGTCTTCAAGAGGCAATAAACAGAACAGTATTAACTTGCTTTATGGAGGTTTGATCATGCTTCTTTGTACAGTTTGGTTTTTTTATTTTAAAAGGAATGTAATAAAATGGCTTTTTTTTGTAGAATTAAATATTATTATTAAAATCAAGTGAAAGGTTGACTGTTGGTGTTAAGCAGGAGAGTGGACCAGCTGGTCCAGCAACAAAAGGGGCTTCAGCAGTAAAGGTACTTTCAAATCTGTCTTCCTGAGCCTTCAAGTGCACAGGGTATACCTGAAGAATATAAACGAAGAGTTACAGAACCACAGAACATGAAAGAAACCTTATTTTCTAGTCACTGAACAGTAAGCTGTCTCTTCCAGGGGCTCTTCTCCCTTTGCTTGTTCATCTAAGGGGGATTTGGGTGGTGGTGTGTTGGGTTTTTTTTATTTGTTTGTTTGGGGTTTTTTGGGGGGTTGGTGTTTCAGGTTTTTTTTCTTTTTACTGGTAGGTGACTGCACTCCTTGAGAGGCTGATAAGGTCAGTCCCTCCCACGTGGAATAACAGCAAGGAGTAAACGTGCTAGTTGGTATAGTGGGACCTCCATTTCTTTCACAGGAAACATCTTTTAGAGGAAAGAGCTGGTAACTGAACATTCTGGACTGTTTTTTGACTCTCCATAGTATATTGCAGCTCACAGGAATTTTACATTTCTATTACCTTTTCAGAATGTTCAGGTTACACCTCATAGTAAAATTTGTGAAGTAAACATAAGATTTTTTTGAAAGACAAACAGCAGATGGGGAGATTTACAGTTTGGCTCCTTTGGGGTAAGGTGCTCTTCTGTGGTTGATGCTTCCATTGCTAGTTTGGAGAGAAGTCTATGCATAGTGGTCAGGGAGGGAGACAGGGTTTGAAACCTCATGTACATTTGTTTGGACACTGGGTATTGATACTGCATGAAAACCTTGCTTGAGTGTTCATTGGTACAAATAGGCACACTTGTCTCGTGTATTTACTCCCTTCATTGCTCCTGAAATAGTGAAGTGTATAGAATGGGCTCGGGGTGCAAGGCAGATGTCTTGTGTTTACTTAAAAGAAAACACCAAGAAATCTAGCCTGTGGTAACCAGGCAGTGTTTCCCATTCAAGGTGGACTTACAGATGTCAGCTTTATACGCTGTATTTCCTTCAGTTTCATATGCTGAAAAACACATGTTAAACTTACATACAGTTGCAATAACACTACCTCTGTTTGTGGGTTTGGGAGCATGTGCTGAAAAAATGGTCAACGTAGTGCTGGATTACAGTAGTGCTAATACAGCTGATTGATAGCGGTACAATTATTGTTGTATATTTTAATGTTTGAAGGAGCCAGTTAGAAACTCTTGTTTGCAAGAATAAGTTTCTTAAACTACATCTGATGAAATTTTGTTCTTTATAACACCAGACATCTCTTTTGTTCAACTTACGATGTTTATAATTGATGTCTTGCTATGTCAATGTACGGATTGTATCTTAAACCTTGTATTTAATGCTTTAATGTGTTTTATAAAATCTTTTCTTGGAATGTTACAACACCTCACCTGTAACACAATGTGAATGCTTGATGCATATGTGGACTGTTAACATTTTTGTTCAGAGCTGATGGTCACTCTTGGAGCATTTTCTCCCACTTCATGTGCTGTCTTTCATGTGTGATACTTACTCAGGAAATAACCTCTGGAACATCTGGGTATGTCAGACGCAAAGGAGATACTTCTTCACATGTTACACTGGACTTCAAAATCCAGCAAATGAAACCAGTGACGTTTACTCAAATTTTTTCTCCCCCTTACTGCAAAAATCTGTCAGTTAAATACATAAGGGACCTTAAGGGCTTAGAGAGACTTTGAAAGCAAATCACATGTACAGTATCTTTCTCATGGCTCACTCTTTTTGAGAAGGATTATGGGCTTTATGGCTGGTGTGAGACACACGACCCACTCCTGTTCTCTCTATGGAATAGTAGGTACTCAGACAGGTAACTTCTGTTGCTACTGTCTTTTTTTTAATTTTTAATTTTTTCACTGTTCTAGGAATTGTTTTAAACTGAACACTGCAGGGTTTATAACCAGATGTTTGCTGTCTTTTTCTTTGTTTTATTTCTTTTAAGTGTTTCTTAACCTTTGAGGGTGACTTTTGGAGTATTCTGATGGTGGATCTTGGCTTCCTGTTGGAAGTGTCCAAGCCTTCCATATTTCCAATTTGAGTTGAAAATTTTTTGTTTTGTTTATTTCTTTAAAGTGATGACACAAATTAGATGCACAGATTTTGGGCGGGGTTTGTTGTTGCTCTATTTTTGTGACTTACTCTCCCTTTTTTTGCAGAAATGTGTTCTAACAGTTCACACTTTGTTACTGTTCTTTGCAAAACTTTTCAGGAGCCAAAAAAGTCAAACAATCCAGAGAAAACCTTCCCTTCTCCCCTTTCTGATGGCAAGAGTGAGAACTTATGAAAAGTCCTTGAGAATGTTCCTTCCTAAACTTTTCCCCCCAGTAATGCAAGTGGGTAAAATGGTAAACGCAGCAGTTTGGTGACATCCAAAACCGACCTGGTGTCAGGTAAATTGACTCTTTTCTGCTCTTACTGTAACCTTCTGAAGTTTGCTAACTAGTCTGCCTTCCTTTCTTCCCATCAGTTCATTTTGGTGAAACTTCTTGAATGATCTCTTTAATGGTACTGTTTTGAGAAAATCCTACTTCTCTTCCTCATTTTTCCTCCTTATACACATTGACGTTTAAGAAAACTGTTATGTTCTTTGCTTTACTCAGGTGAGAAAAAAGTGAGTCCCCTCATGTAAGTATATGAGGGATAGTTTTGTAATATGTTAATTCCACGTCCTCTTTATCACTTCAAAGTAGTTTGCCTTCAAGTGTACTATTTTAGCTTAGATTTTGAAAGATATGA